GCGCTGACCCTGTTTGAGGAAGCTGTGGCTGAGTTTGGTATGCTTTCCTGTAAGAGGGTTATATTCATCTAACGAGTCCAATGGCTTGATTTGTTGCTACTTTTCTACTTTTCTTGTTAAAATCTTTAGAATGTAGGCAGGCTGCTCCTGTCTGTCTTCTTCTGGGAGAGGCTGTCCAGGCTCCCCCTGACATGGCTACAATGGTCCCTTCCATGAAGGGCTGGCCTGGCGGGACTGCCGCAGCCTCACTGTGGCCACTGCCCTGTGCCACCTTTCCAGCACCCTGTTCTCAGCTCTGAGGAGTCGCCGCCCTCATGCTCTAGCTGGTACACTGGCTTCTACTTACAAGGAAGCTATAGATCAAGTTTCACAGGTGAACCCAAGCTTTAAGAAAGACACCAAGGGATATTTTCATATCCTGGGAGGGCAGTGACCACCTTCTCCCCAGTGCTCCAGGGGCACTTGGAGAGCTGCCCATCCACTTGTGGGTCACAAAGGCTGCTCCCCTCTGCTTTTATCCAGGGCCAGCTGAGAAGGAGTGCATGCCCCGGGAGGACCCAAGAGTGCCTGCCCAGGACACCTGCAGGGAAAGTCCCCACTGGGCTGTGGCAAACATAGCAAGTATTTGATATTCACCCTTAGAGGTGGATGTTGATTTTCCATGCCCAAAGGAAGAATACTCTCAGACGCTGAATGATTTGGGTTTAAAGAATGGGAGACGTTAACAAGTATGCTTATTTGACCAACAGTTTTGTGCACACGAAGCACAAAGGTCTTTCTCAGTAATTCTGGCTGCTTGCCAGGAGAGAGAGTGTCATAACCTACAGGATGGCTTGCAGGGTGTCAAGCTCCTACTGCAGACTAATTTGCAACATGTGCCACTACCTCATCTGGAGATAAAAACCACACATGCATCACATGTCCAAACGCTTGGCACTGCCTTCTGCTCAAGCTAGTTCTGCTTAAAGATCCAGACTTTCAGTAAAAAAACAATCTGGATTTAAAAACGGAAGACCAATGAGATACGGCCAGGCAGAGTTTGCTGCAACTGGGATGGCAGTAAACAACGTTAAAAATGAAAACCAGGTGTCAAACAAAGCTTCAAGGCATTCGCCCTCCTAGCCCATGTGGCCATTTCTGCCATCAACAGATGCAGATTTTAAACCTAGCTGCTTTTTAGAATCCCAGAGATCTGTAAGCAGATTCTTAGGCCTGGGCCTGGAGACTGTCATTCAGGAACCAAATTGTTCAAAAGTTTCTTGGCTAATTGTAATGTACAGCCACGCTGGGACTGCCAGCAGCTCCTGTGCCAGACACAAACACTTAGAAGAGGAGAAGCTGCTAAGCTACAGGCCAGAGCTGGCCATGGCCGTGACCCACCTTGGACCAGGTGACTCCCATTGGCTTTGGGCGCTCGCAGCCTGTGGCGATGACTCTGGTTGGAGTGAGAATGTAGTCGACAGTGATGTCGTGCTCCTCAAGGAGCTCTTCAGGGATGTCCACAACCTGGGGGAACGGGGGTGGGATAGAGGGGCAGTTGGGAATGCCACTGTGGGACAGAGGAGCCAGCGGGAGCACCTCTGCAGGACAGTGGGCCAGCGGGAGCACCTCTGCCGGATAAAGGGGCTGATGGGGCGCCACTGCAGTCATGCACGTTACACCGCTCGGTGGGAATGTGAGGCTGGCTAGAGAAGCACCCCCAAATCCAATCTGGGGCCAAGGCTTAGCCAGCGCACCACTAGCAAGTCCAGCCCTGGCTGATCCACACCACTTGTGACAGGGCAAGGTTCAGTAGCAGACAGTCTTTTTCCCCACCCCCTCCCTCAGAAGAGAGTGGCAGTGGCTCTGCTCAGCCCCCTCATAAGGAGCACCTGGCAGTCGTGGACGATGGTGACCACTGGCGTCTCCTTGCTGATGGCGCCCATGGACACCATCATGGCATATTCCAGATCGGCGTAGCCTTCTCCCTTCCCGATTCTCCAGCCTAAGAGACAACCAAGAATCAGTATCACTGTGTGGTCCGGGGCATCACTGAGAAGTAGATTTTCCATCAAGTCCAGCAGAAGGAGAAACAATATCCCTGGCCAATCTATAGAAATTTCCACAGAAATGCCCACAGGCAGCCCACATTGAAGATGGACTTTTGGGCATTCAACAGGAGTAACAACACGGCAAATGTATGATGGTGAAAACACGACGACATGAACACCGACGCTTTTAAGCATGTCACAAAGGGAAATATGGAAGCTTTATGTCAAAAAGACTCATATCTAAAAACAATGAAAAGAACAGTTTTCAAAAAGACTAAAAACAAATTCCTACTAAAAGGAAAATATGTTTAATCAGCTTAGCTTGGAGGGAAAATCGCTACTCTGAAGTCAGGACTTTGTGACGGCACGGCCTTGCTTCTGAAAAGGCACTCGACAGTAGCCACTGGATACCGGCTCCCGACGGATGGCTGAACCAGTAGTAAAGCCGCTTTGAAAATCTGTCATTAGTGGCACAAGAAAAGGATTATCTGAGCCTGAAAGAGTAGCTAAGATGAAACCGAGATTTAAGAGTCTCTCTAGCCAAATCAGCTGTTCAGAGACAAAAATGCAGGAAGACAGGGAATGCCAAATGTACAGACAATCTACAATTCCTCTTATCAGAAGCCTGAGGCACTTCAGAAACTGAGGCCTGTGTGCACCACCACCAGCATCACTCCCAGAGTGCCCGCATTACTGCTGCTGTGTCTAAGACTCCCATCTGGCCATGTTACTCTTGACAATTCAAAACCTTCAACTGTGCATGCAAAGCAACAAGGGAAAGAAAATTCAACAGAAAAATAGCAACGGATATGAACAGTTCACAGAAAATGACAGGCAGATAAGCAGCAAACATGAGAAATACTTGGCTGACTCCTAATGAAGTGCAAGTCAAAGGCAAAGGAGATACTACTCACTGCTCACTAGCAGACTGCTCAAAGTCAAAGCTGGGTCATTCCAGCAAGGAACAAGGGAGCAGGGAAAGGGGCACCACCCCTGGGGGCCGAAAACGAGAGGCCCTTCTGGTGGCAACATCAAGGCTGACAATCTACCCTTCAGCTCAGTCATTTCCCTCTGAGGAATTGGCCCATGGATAGCCTCAAAGGCACACCTAGACGATCCCACAGGACATACTTCACTCTAGCATGATCTGCAAGGAAAAAGACCAAAGCAAAATCTGGAAATAACTCATAACATACGCATCCATCGGCCAGAGTGGGCTCAGTTACTGAGGTGCAGTCACTTAAGAACACCTTGCCACTGCTCAACACAGGGGACAGGGAGGCCAGCCTGCTGCAATGACAGGAATGGGCTCTGAGACACATTCTCCAGCAAGGCATAGAGCTCTGTGTGTGCACTGTCCCTTCTGTGAATGTAGAAAAGGGATGTATATAAATCTGTACCTATAAACTATAGGCCAGGTACAGTGGCTCATGCCTGTAATCCCAGCACTTTGGGAGGCCGAGGCAGGTGGATCACTTGAGGTCAGGAGTTCAAGGCAAGCGTGGCCAACATGGTGAAACCTCTCTCTACTAAAGATAAAAAAATTAGCGGGGTGTGGTGGCACATGCCTACGGTCCTAGCTACATGGGAGGCTGAGGCAAAAGAATCACTTGATTCCAAGAGGCAGAGGTTGCAGTGAACTGAAATCATGCCACTGCACTCCAGCCTGGGTAACAGGAGCAAAACTCCAACACACACACACACACACACACACACACACACACACACACACACACACTATAAGACAGGGGTTCCCGGCCACAGACCGGTTCCAGTCCATAGCCTGTGAGGAACCAGGCAGCACAGCACGAGGTGAGGAGCGAGTGAAGCTTCCTCTGTATTTTCAGCGGCTCCCATCACTCTCATCACTGTCTGCCCTCTGCCTCCTCTTCCATCAGCCGTGGCATCGGATTCTCATAGGGGTGCAAACCCTTGTATGAACTGTGTGTGCCAGGGATTTAGGTTGCATGCTCCCATGAGAATCTAATGCCTGATGATCTGTCACTGTCTCTTATCACTCTGAGATGGGACCGTCTAATTGCAGGAAAACAAGCTCAGGGCTCCCACTGACTCTATGAGTTGTACAATCATTTCATTATATACTACAATGTAAGAATAACAGAACTGAAGTACACAACAAATGTAATCTTCTTAAATTATCCTGAAACCACCCCTCCCTGGTCCATGAAAAAACTGTCTTCCATGAAACCAGTCCCTGGTGCCAAAAAGTTGGGGACAACTGCTATAAGGTATCTGTGTCTCAGCAAAAGAAACTATCAGAGTGAACAGACAACCTAAAGAATGGAAGAAATTTTTTGCAACCTATCTGTCCGACAAAGGTCTAATATCCAGAGTCTATGAAAAACTGAAACAAACTTACAAGAAAAAAACCCAAACAACCCCATTAAGAAGTGGGCAAAGGGCATGAACAGAGACTTCTTAAACTAAGACATTTATACAGCCAACAAACATGAAAAAAGGCTTAACATCACTGATCATTAGAGAAATGCAAACCAAAACTACAATGAGATACCATCTTATGCCAGTCAGAATGGTGATTATTAAAAAGTCAAGAAATAATCGATGCTGGAAAGGTAGGAATGCTTTTACACTGTTAGTGGGGATATAAATTAATTCGAACATTATGGAAGACAGTGTGGCGATTTCTAGAGCACCTAGAACTAGAAATACCATTTAACCCAGCAATCCCATTACTGGGTACATACCCAAAGGAATATATATCATTCTACCATAAAGACACATACCACGTATGTTTATTGCAGCACTATTCACGATAGCAAAGACATGGAATCAACCCAAATGCCCATCAATGATAGACTGGATACAGAAATTTTGGTATATATACACCATGGAATACAATGCAGCCATAAAAGGGAATGAGATCATGTACTTTGCAGGGACATGGATGGAGCTGGAAGCCATCATCCTCAGCAAACTACCACAGGAACAGAAAACCAAACACTGCATGTTCTGACTCGTAAGTGGGAGCGGAAAAATGAGAACATATCGACAGGGAGGGAAACAATACATACTGAGCCTGTCAGGGCAGGGGCAGGGGGAGGGGGAACACCAGGAAAAGTAGGTAATGCATGCTGGGCTTAATACTTAGGTGACAGGTTGATAGATGCAGCAAACTACCATGGAACACGTTTATCTAACAAACCTGTACTTCCTGCACATGTATCTCGGAACTTAAAAAAAGATATCTGTATCTCATATGCATGCTACCATGCACGACATCTATACTGGGAGCTCCTAAAGGGGCAGCTGGGGAAGGAACAGGGAAGATGTGTGGTAGAGCTCTCTGTGCTGCTGAATTTTCTAAGCAGATGCATGGCTACTTAACCATTTTACGTAGGGGGTTATCTGAATGATGACACTTAGGAAATTGCTTCCTTCTGTATACATCCCTGAACCTGATGCTCCTTTCAAAGAGGAGACCTTTGCCGATTTCCCACTGCCAAGAGCCCAAATCCCGTCATCTGGCCTCAAGGCTGCTAAGAAAGGGCAGCAACCTAGTAAAGAGCCTGCTGCCTGAGGACCCTTCAGCCCCCTCTGCCTGGGCAGTGGCCAGCATGCAGGAGCCAGCCCTGAGGCCCCTACTGAGGACATGTCCCCTCCCAGCTGGCAGGTCCCTACTCAGACTCCTCCTCCCATGCCCGTGAGTTCCGAAGTGTGTCTCGCACTGAGCAAGTCATGTCCTGTCCTGGTCCAGCTCGTGTCTGCCTCACCCACATACAGTGCACTAAGGCAGAGACCACTCAGTGCCTGCCTGGCATGCCTGGCACACAGCACATGCACCAGAACAGTGCGCTCCTGAGTCCCAAACCCTGATCACACAGATGAAGCACTGGAAGCTGGGAATGCACTGAAAACAAAGAATAAAGAACAGCATACCCACATCAGCTCCAGTGGCAGCTGGAAAAAGAGGGCGCCCTGCAGGTGGAGACAGTGAGGGGTGGTGCAGTGACCCTGCTTTCCTGACAAGGGCCCCCTGGCCTTGTGGACTGAGAGCAGCCCGCCTCACACGCAGCATGGCAAAGCACCAGGCCCTGGAAGAAGTCTCAGGGACACAGCATGGTGTTCAGGAGTCTGCTGCTTCATAATAAAAGCAAAGCTTCGAACATATTGTTTTTCCATTAGCTGGAGTCCCTCCAAAACCAACTATTTACTGACATACTGAAAAGAAATTCAGTTCCAGCTCCAGCTCACTTAAGAACAAAGAGAAAATGTGTCACCATCTGAAGAGAGAGTTATCTCAATTTATTTTTCCTAAGAAAAGTGAAAATGCCGTACACATGCTGGGCTGGGGCCAGGAGTGGGTGGGCTGAGCCAATTCTTCATTATTGAAAAATGCAGTGGCTTCGGGACCAGGTAAGCAAATTCAGAAAGCAGAAATCATCAGCGACTTTTTAAAGACAAACAGCCTAACACAGAGAGCCTGGCACGCAGCCACCTTCAGGCACAGCTGTCACACCCGAGTGCCCATTTGCTCATCTTACCTTTTTCAGAAACGGCCACGGATCCCACCACAACTAAATCCACAAGGACTCTGGAATCCAAGCCTATGGGGACGCTGTAGTTCCTCACACCCTGCAATAGAGATGGATTTGAAAACTTAACTCCAGCTGCTTCCCCATTTTACAATTCATGATCAAAGTACATTCAGGGTTTGAGTCAACCTCTTGGACAAAACTGAAGCAGGCACACTCAGCACTGGGGATGTGGCGTTTCAGGGGAAGCCGTATTCTAGAAACCACTTTAGGGCATAGCTCCCCAGTCTCTTTCCCAGAAAAGTGGCCAAGGGGAACTGACAGCACAAATTCATAGGCTGCTGATTCCATAACATTTATCAAATCGTTTATCCCCATAAGGCAGAAGAGCACAGTGGTGAGAACGCAGGGCTGGGGTCCCAGGGAACTGGGTTCCAGAGCCTCTGAGCCATGGGTCTCCAGCAGGCTGGAGCTCTCTGAGCCTCAGTTTCTTCACCTGCAAGACAGGGATACCGCTCTCTGCCTCATCGGACCAGTGTTGGACTTAAATAATGAAATATATGCATTTAGCACATAAGACATGGTCAGGAAACACTGTATGACATATTTATTCACTATAAAATCCTGAAGGTCACTATCTTTATGTACAATACACTCGCTTCTAAAAAATATCCCCAAAGTGTATCTATCACTTTATACTAACGCAGGCCTGCATTTAAAGAACAGGGAAGCTGAATATGTTCATGATTCTCATAACATAGTTTACACAAATCTCAAGAAAAAGCCACTTCCAGCCATTATCCAGCAGTAGCTGATCATTCAATGTGACACTGGGCCCTGCCTGCCAGTGAGGGCTGTGACAAGTTCCACATGGGTCAGTGCAGGCTTGGGGTCTCCCAACAGGCACAGAAGGGGGCTTAGTCCAGGAAACCCTACACTGCAAGAAGCCCTGCATTCTCCTCATCTCACAGGGGCCACAGGGGGTGGGTATCGACCACCTGCAAAGAACAGACCGTTTGCATTTGTGAATGCTGACCATCACCATGATTTTGCCTCATTTTTCTACCTTTATTTTTCCTTTGCTCCTTCCTCTCTCTCTCTCTCTCTATATATATATATACACACACACACACACGCACACATATATATACACACACACACACATATTACTTTACTGCACGTATTACATAAGCCATATCAACTTCTATTTTTGGAATAAGCAGAGTGCTAGTAAGTAAACAATAAAAGATTCCAGTTTTATACATTCGGCTTAAGTGGCAAATCCTATAAAAAAGGGTATCTTGAATTGCCTTATTTTTTTATTCTCAGTAGATTAGGCATTAGATGACTTGGAGTTTACCTTAGTATTCTTTAAAAAGTCACCAAACTCGACTTCCTTAACTGTAAAATCCATGACAAATTTTATTATAATGCACACTAATGTGATATTTACACACTCAGCTTTACTAAATTGTGAGGCATTCAAGAAAATTTTAAATAAACATGGTCAGCAATTACTCATTTAGAACTGGTGAGGCAATTTCCAATGGAGCACATTTTAGAAACTCCACCCTGTCTCCCAGTTGCTCTGGTGGCATCTGATGAACAGACTGGGAAAAGGAAAAAGCCACACAATACTAAACACTGCAGGTCAACACTGGGGCACGCCAGAGAACCAGAGCACTTGTCTTCCCTTCTCTTACAATAAGGAATTCATAATTTGCCAAATTCGTGCAAAATACAAATAGAGTTACAGAAATAGAATCCATTTACTCACATTTTTCTACTTGGCTCCATTAATCACAGAATTCTTGAATACTTTAATATCTCTGCTATTTTGGCTCTGTTAAAAATGAATTCCAACTGTGTGATGCTATTTCATGCTATCCTAACTCGCCAGAAGGCTTCACAGGGTAGAGTTCTCCCCCAGGTGGGGACGTTGCTTCTAGCACTTACCTGAGAGGTGGCACATTTTCTCAAGATGTCTTTAGTTGCCCCAGGGGGTGGTGTGATCTTATTAAACAACCCGGTTCTCAGTCGTGGTGTTGGAACCAACAATGTTTTTTTGTTCTTTTAAAGAAAAGACAATACATTACAAAATTTAATTTTTCCATAGGACTTTCTTATATATGTTTTTATAACTTCAGGAAAAGACAAATTACTATTATCTGCTTGTGTGTGTGTGTGTGTGTGCACCAAGGAAATTACTTATTTGAAAACATAATTAACTAATGTGTGGGGTGGATTTTTCTTACAATCACCACTTGGTACCTCCTTACTATCAAGAGCGGGAGGGTTTACTAACCTTCCTAATTTGACTTCACCTGCCATTCAAAATCGTTACAGGTAAAAATAGACAACAGAAATCCAAACTTGGGTCAGTTCTGACAAAATCCCAACCACGACTTTCCTGTGCCCCTTCTGCTGTCAGCACCAAGTGCTACCCAGTGACAACAATGTTGTGATCAGAAACAGCACCGCATAACTACCTTACTTACTCAAACATTCTACCTAGTGGGATTGTTCAGTACATCACAGTCAAAGAGATCAGTAATCATGATAATCAATACACCAACACATGCCAATAGCCCTTTGCTTCTGCTCCGTTCTTTCCTGCCTATTGTGAAAACCTCTAGAACAGGGCTTCTCAGAGTGAAAGCCCCGGCCCAGTGCATCAGCACCCCTGGCACCTGTTGGAAAAGAATCAGCCCCTCTGGGGGTGGGGGAGCTTTGATGAGCTTTCCAGTGATTCTGACGCACACGGAAGTTTGAAAACCACTGGCTGGGATGTCTCTGTAGATTATGCAAGGGTAAGTCACAAGGCAATCATGAGATCTGAGACATCTTTCATGTAAAGAATAGTATATTTTAGTGGCCGGGCGCGGTGGCTCAAGCCTGTAATCCCAGCACTTTGGGAAGCCGAGGCGGGTGGATCACGAGGTCAAGACATCGAGACCATCCTGGTCAACATGGTGAAACCCCGTCTCTACTAAAAATACAAAAAATTAGCTGGGCATGGTGGTGCATGCCTGTAATCCCAGCTACTCAGGAGGCTGAGGTAGGAGAATCACTTGAACCCCGTAGGGGCAGAGATTTCGGTGAGCTGAGATTACACCATTGCATTCCAGCCTGGGTAACAAGAGTGAAACTCCGTCACAAAAAAAAAAAAAAAAAAAGAATAGTATATTTTAGTTTTTGAGCAGATGATAACTCAAGACCAATAAAAGACCTATAACATCTGTGTGGCCTATTTCAACAACGGCTTGTCAACCACGAGAGCAAAGCACTTCAACACAGGCAGCTGTAACTGCCCCGCTGCCTTTCTGAGCGGTAGACGTGTGGCTCCCCTAATTGGCACAGTTGGGGTCCTGTGCGCCACATGATGGGGATCACTCCCTCTTTTCTAGAACCTGCTCATCCCCTGGCTCAGTGGATCTCAGCCTTTATCGTGTATTAGAAACACCACCAAGCTTTAAGAATTATGGAGGTCTAGACCTCACTCTAGAGGCTGACTGAAACCTGGCATGGCCAACAGTCTTCAAACCTCCTTGAGTGACAGCAGTGTGGCCAGGGCTAGCAAGCATCACCTAAGCCAGTGGTCCACAAGCCTGAGTGCTTGGAGCACACCCAGAAAACTCATTCAACAGAGTCTGATGCTACTCTAGAGACTGACTCACAGGTCTGGGGTTCAGCCTGGGAAGCTGTGCATGCTCCGAGCACTGGCCGCTGTGCCTGTCACCGCGGGTGTGGCCTGAGGCTGTGTATGTCACCCACTGCCTGCCCAAATGCAGCTGGGGCTCAGTGACATGGATTTTTACCTGCGTCCCCGCTGATTCTTAAGTCCTTAAAGTTTCCAAAGACCACTGAGGATCCTGTAAGCACCAGAAAGCAGGGATCATATGTGTGATGGTGTCTTCACACTCCATCCCTGTGTCCAGATTATACAAGGCTTACCCTTGCATAATCTACAGAGACATCCCGGGAGAGAGCTCAGTTACTTACTCAGCCTGAATAAATGATGGAGGAGCTCAGGGCTGCATTCCCCTCCCAGGCTGACTTGGCTAAGGCTGACCTCTGCACAGTGAAGGGTTCTGATTTTTGCTCTGAGGGGCCGACAGCTGAGAACACCCTGAACTTCACACCTGCAAGGACGGGCTCTGGGATCAGATGGCTGGGTCAGCATCCTGGCTGCACTGACTGATGTGCGGTAACCTGAGGGGGAGCCTCCCTGCCTCTGGTTTCAAGTGTCACGGAGGAGCAGAGATGACTCCCACAGGACTACCAGAGAACTAAGCAAAATAATACAGGGAAACATTTAGACAGAACTGTGCCTCGAGAGGAGTGACTGCCGACTGCTGTCCTTCCCTGCTACGGCCATTATCACTTCCAGCTTATTAAAATGATTAACTGGGAAAATACGGCTGACAGGCTGAACTGCAATCAGTACACAAAATGACCTCCCACAAGAGCTCAGACCCAGGGCAGGACCCTCCTCTCAGCCCTGGCAAGAATGCACCCTGCCATTCACCTTACCACACAGTGTGGAAAGTGCCCCTCTAACCAGGGCTTCTCGGGAGTTTGACTTGACAGCATGGGTGGGAGAACGGAGTCACACACAACGCGTCGCAGCGTAAGGCAGAACGACAATGATCCTGCCGTGTGGCGTCCAGTACTACAACTCACACTATCAGCGTGATTAGCTTCGGCAAAGTCACATCAACCACGCATTAAATTAACGGGGTCATTCGAATGTTACTGATTTTATAGTCTTGTTTGCCTTTAACATATATCCTTATTTTGGTTTTATAGTTGCATAAAAGCTATCTGCATTAAAACTTATACCAAGTTTTATGTTTATCATATTAAATTAGATAACAGTAAACTAATTTAAATCAACCCTGGGGGATTTGTTTTCCTTGAAAAGGGACCTATATATTTTAAGCTGAGAAACAGTCCTCTAATAGAAATATTTTGAGGACACATCAGACTTCTTAATCATGATTTATGTTTCGAAGAATTATGTGGCGAAAAGAACTAAACATGTCGTAATCTTCCTCTTCTGATGAAGCACATCAAAACTGAGCATGCTTCAACGCCATCATTTTTTTGTTTGGTTAGGAAGTGAAAAATAACAATTTATTCTAACAGCATGCCTGAATTTAAAAAGTTTAAGTGTTGAGAAGAAATCTCTCGGTTCTTAACCATGCTCTTTATAGTATCAGAACATGACAGGTGACCGTCTGTCATCCAGGAGCAAATGACTGCATTCAGCAAGTTCGTTAGATGCTCATTTCAAATGGCAAAGTGCTGTCACCTATTTTAGCTCCAGCTCCTCAGTTCTGGAACACCACAGGTTCTGCCAGGATTCCCTCTCCTGTGCCGATGCCTGGATGCCACTGTTTTCAATAGCCTTTACCTCCGAATTTGGCAACATTCAGGACTCCTGATTGACTAAATGCTAAACAGCTGAATGCTTTCAACTATTTTTGGAAAAACCACCACCAAGGGCACTTTCTGTACTGGAGGAAGTCAGAAGCACCGACTTTCTAAACACAAGACAGACGTATGCACTGACCAGCTACCTGGAAACGGCGTCCCCCTTGGCGGCCAGGGGTCGGCACCGCTCATGGAAGTGGAATTACCTGCAGTGCCAGCAGCCGAACGCCTTCTAGTGGTTTATCAGGGTCCACTTTAACTTCCTGAGTTCTGGCAAAAACGTCTAGGTCTTTGAGGTTTTGGCAAGCCAGGTAAGACCCCTAGTTAGGCAAACAGACAGAGTTGCACTTACTTCAAGAACGTAGAAGCGAGCGTTTTTCTGGGGAGCATCAGGATTTACTTTTATGGTCCTGGCCGTTTTGAATGCTGGCAAGCGCAGTAGTTGCTCGGCAGCATGAGAAGCTCCCTGTTTTCAACGCAATCACCTGTTACTCAGAGGACAACAGCCCTCAGGCCAACCGCCACCCAGGGAGCTCCACCCAGAGTCTCACCCAGACAGGCACTAACAGTCACCCAAAGCAACATCTAAGGAAGTAGTCAGGGGAGAAAGGGATTTGAGAAAAGTAGCCTAGCCCCAATTTAGTTTTTACTGAAATAAAACACGCATTGCAAAAAGAATACAAATCCTAAGTACAAAATTGGATGATTTGTCACGAAATGAACACAGCTATGTAACCACCACCAAAAGCCAAAGCATGACCTGGGAGCCCCACCTCTCTCCTGTTTGATTCACTTTAAAGATTTCTACATGTTCTCTATATCCTTCATCTTTGTAAAGATACGTTTCTCTCTCTAGGGTAAGAAGCATTAAAACAAAGCACAGTAACGACAAAAACCATACAAAAAAAGCAGTTTTTCAAAGGGACAGGACAGTCTTGGAGCCATCTCAGCTGAGGACCAGAGAAGGTGGAGCTTGCTGTGGAGAAGCCAGGCCTGGAGAGAGGCAATCGAGACAAGGTGGGCTGAAGAAAGCAAACAGCTGAGTCCTCCAGGCCGGGGAGGGCATTTTTGAAGAGCGTTTTCTTTTTGTCTTGGAAAACAGGCATGGCAAAGATTATGAACTGTTGCACTGCCTCTTTCAAGTAACTTTTTTTTTTTTTTTTTTTTGTCAACACTGTTAGGAACAGCCATCTTTGGTTGTCTTATGTTTTGATCAGCTGGGGAACTGAGGCCCAGCCTCGTCAGGCTGGCAAGGCATCCATTTCTTTCCAAAGGCACTAGCATCTGGGCTTTCGTTTCAGTGGCCTTCGCTCCCTAATGCTCTTAGCAGGGCCAATTTTGTGAAAAGTCGTCACAGCAATAGCATGCTTCCAGCTAGGATAAGTATTTTACTTTGTATCAAACAGAAAACAGCAAGTAACACCACTTCACCTAGAAACAACCAAACCACCCCGCTCAGAGAGGAAGGGTACATGGCATCTCTAAATGCTAAGGACACCCTTGCCAAATGGTTTTGATTTCACACCGCTACTCACTGCTCACCACATTCTGATCCACTATGAAGCACTACAATAATTTTATTATCAGTGTTATTCATTTAGGAAGATCTTGTTTTCCTCTGACATACTCCAGGAATGTGTCAGTACCTTAAAGTTGGGAATCCTGTGGTGAACAGGACGGGGAAAGTCAGCTAAATTCTGTGATTCCATGTAGTCCCAAATGTGTTCACGAATGTCCTGTTTGGAGACACCTATTACAACAAAGGATTACCACTTATTAACATACAAAGGAATTTCACAGCACATGTGGAAAGCCCCCTCCCGTTACACACTCAGTCTCCTACACCAGAGTTCACAACTATGCCAGACCAGATTGAGGTCTTTTGGTCTCTACATCAAAAAATGTAATGATAAGTGGGGTGTGTGTGTGTTTCTTTGAAACGGAGTTTCGCTCTTGCTGCCAAGGCTGTAGTGCAATGGCACAATCTCAGCTCACTGCAACCTCCACGTCCCAGGTTCAAGCAATTCTCCTGACTCAGCCTCCTGAATAGCTAGGATTACAGGCATGTGCCACCACATACTCAGGAGAAATTATTAAAGTTCAGAGTAAATTAAGCATAGCCGTAATATTTAATCCAGTTATACTAATCTTGTAGCAGTAGGGGAGAATAATATAACCTACACCTTGTAAACAAGCCCTCCTAGAGTTCTGCTGATGTAGAGAAACTGTCCTCTCAGTCTTGATGTAACTACGATTCCTCTATTCTTGTCATAAGTCAGGTAAGCTTGCCTTAAAACTAAGTCATCTATAAACCAGCGATTATTTTGGATTACTGACTACAATCCCTTTATTAGTGTGGACCTAATAATTAGATGACCATGTTGGCGTCATCTCCTGTCATTCCTCACTCTGAATCCAAAAAGTGGCTCAAGGACTGTCCTTCCCTGGCCCCAGTATACCTGACCTGCCCACCTCTCCCTTGAGGCCCTGTACCTCCTCTGCTCCCCTTCAGGTCTAGCCTAGATTCGACCTCCCCCAGGAAACCCTCACTGTGTGCTCAGCCTCAGGCAGATGACCCTCCTTTAGGAATGGAAAGAGTACCCCTACCATTGGGGTTTTCTTCAAACAGAAACAATTACATTGGAACAATGACTACAAAGTTACCACATGAGCTGCTTTCACTAACAGCCCAGAAGGCCTGGAATGCCCCCAGCACTGTGCAGGACACCCCACAGTGTTACACAGAAATATAACACTGTGGCCCCTGCTCTGGAGTCAATTAATCCCACAACCCTGACTCCCCCTAAAAAAGCAACGGGCTACCTGGCAGGGGGAGCAGGCATTGCAAAATAAAAGGGCAGAGCCTTTCCTCTGGAAAGGTCCAAAACCGTGGGGAATAATTAGAATAATGAAAGGTGACAGTTACTAACGTGTGAAATGCCTGAACCCTACTCTGTAATTGTCAGTTTGCTCCCCCAGCAGGCGGTGGGCCCTGCTGGGTCTGCGTGGGTCTCATTCCCTCTTCATTCTCCAACTCCAGGTCTGTGCTGGCACAGAGCAGGCTTCCCCAAAGGTCACCTTACCACGCCAGCACACGGATCACCGTCCGTCTCCGGGCTGTGTGCAAGCTGCCGCGCAGTACGGGTGGGAGTGGACCTGCTCACCGCTGCGGCTGCAGCATGTAAAAGACCCTGGCACACCCTGTGTACTAGGAGCACGGGGTCCTATCTGCCAGGCAATGCTGCGAGCCATCATCCAGCGCTTTTCCCGCGGAGAGCGACCTCCTACAGGCCAGGGGCTCCCCCACGCGCGCGGCAGGCGTCCCTCCCGCCTCGTCCTCCTGTTATCTTTGTTTTTCCCGACAGCTTTCTCGGGATCCCGGGTCCGAGAGAGCCGCTGGTTCGACGGAACCCAGCACAGGTCCCCTCCGACCCCCTCGCCCGCCTCCGGTGATTCCGCCCCATGCTCTGCCAGTCCCGGTGGCCCTGCCTCGACCCTCACCGGTCCCGGCGACCCCTCCCCACTCCGCGCCGCGAGCGCCCCGCTGCACCCCCTCACCCGTCCTCGGCAACATGGCTACGCCGTCTGCGCGCGACGCCTCCGGGGCCAAGTCTGGCGCACATTGACGTCACCCGCTCCACGCCTGCGCAGTGGTGGGAGGGGCGGGGCCTGAGTGGGCGTGGGCCCGGCGCGCCTGCGCGGGTGCGTGGAACCTGCTCCAGGGACAGTCGCGCCGCTCCCGGTCCTGCGGGTCCTGCTCTCATCAAGTCACTGTCGAGCGCCGCCCGTCGCGGGCGGTTTACCAAGCCCCGAAGTTACTGAAGTGAACGAGTCCCCGGCCTCCCGGAGCCCGCTGCCGGCTGACACACATCCCACCTCCTCTTCCAGGCCCAGAGGCCGCCTCCTCTGGGAAGCCCGCCTTGATTGCTCCTCCTGCAGGACGCGCCTTCTGAGACCCTGCAGACCCTCGGGTGCTCACATCTGGGTGTGCGGCGGACTCAGCCGGCAGCTCTCTAAACGGGCAGGCAGATGGAGATTCGGGGCCCGCCCAGGCCCAGCCCCGGCGGCGGCGCTCCGGGCGCCCGGGGGCCATCCTTTGAGAAACACCGGTGGATTCTCACCCTGACCTCCGCATACCCTGAGAGGAAGAACGTGGCAGCCTGCGCTTGCTCCGCTCTGTCGTTCCTGTTTGTCCACCTAAGGGCCGGGGAGGGCTCGGGGAGACCGGGCTGCCCCGACCCTCACGTCCATGCCCTCCCAGGCTCCAGTCCAGCGGGAAGAGAGGAGGGCGTTCAGCCTGGCGGTGCCTTCGCTTATTGGGAAGAAGACAGACCCCACCCCACCCAGCACACACACAGATGTCAGGGACCAGCCACTGGGAGCACGCCCTGAGCGGAGCCGTGGCATGCCCGTAGCACGTGCCTCGCACATCACAAGCACTCAGAACGTGGTTGCCACCTTTCAAAATGACATGCCCACAACTTGATGAGATCCTCGCCACAAACTTGTGAAACAGACAAAAGCGTTTGAATGCCCGCCCACTTGACAGATAAAGAAAACGGTGTTCCGTGTTCAAGCGACTTATTCAGGCCTCCCAGTAACCGCTACTGTGCCCTTTGCCCTCCTCAGGACATAATTACGGATGGTAATTAACAGTGCTGCGATGTGCCAGGCATGGAGCTTAGCGCCTTCAAAGTCATGGCTAAACAGCTTTCACAGCAGCCCTCAGGCAAATGAGCCAGCGTTCTACAGAGGAGGCAACAGATACTCGGACACGTTAAAGAAGCCTGGCCTAAGTCTCCCAGCTGGAAACGGGTAGAGCAGTGATGCGGCAACCTGCTTAATTGCAGCTCTTGTGGGTCCCATCACAACTGTCTCTCTATGTGGTGTCCACAACATTAATACACAGAGACACTGAGGAGCCTTAGTTCTGCTTGTGGGTGGCCCTGTCTTTCTCCAGGCTTGCAAAAGCAGGGCAAACATCATTTTGGAGGTCATAACATAATCAAAGAGGTTGGGTGTCCTTTTCCCCCCTTTCATGGAAGCACTGTAGATCTGCAGAGTGTTTTATGCAAGTAGATTTGGTCCCAGCGGTGAAAGTGTGTGCAGGACTCAGTTACCCAGCTGTGCTCAAAACACAAAAAGCCCAAGTCCCTCAGATGGACAGCCTGGCATGGCCTCCAGATGGTAATGAGATGCCAGGGACAATCTGCCAGTGGCAATTCTAGAAAGCAGGTATTGTTTCAGCTCCTTCATATCATGTTTTCAAGTTAGAAGTACCTCAAAGAGCTCAGGCGTTTACTCCCAGCTCCCTGAGGGCGAGGTAGAGGATCACTTGAGCCCAGGAGTTTGAGGCTGCAGTGAGCTATGATGGCACCACTGCACTCCACCTGGGTGGCACAGCAAGACCTCTCTCTGAAAAACAAAACAATAAATGCAATAATAAAGAGTAGTAAGAGATCCCTTAGAAAAAATCGACTGGCTCTTTTGTGAAAGGAAGATGCTCTCAGGATAAATAGCTAATGCATGTGGGGCTTAATTCCTAGGTGATGGGTTGACAGGTGCAGCAAACCACCGTGGCATGTGCTTACCTATGTAACAGACCTGCACCTCCTGCACATACATTCTGGAACTTAAAATAAATTTTTTTAAAAAAGAAGATGCTATTGAACTTTAACCCAAATGCTTCAAACTCAATCATATATGTAAATTTTTATTTGGGCCCTTTAGGAGAGATAGATAGATGACAGATAGATATTTGGCAGACTTTATCATTTAGAAGAGTTTTGACTTGGCCTGGTGTGGTGGCTCACACCTGTAATCCCAGCACTTTGGGAAGCTGAGGTGGGCAGATCACTTAAGGTCAGGAGTTCATGACCAGCCTGGCCAACAAAGTGAAACTCTGTCTCTACTAAAAATACAAAAATTAACCAGGGGTGGTGGCTCGTGCCTGTAATCCCAGCTACTCGGGTGTCTGAGAGGGGACAATCGCTGGAACCCTAGAGGTGGAGGTTGCAGTGAGCCGAGATTGTGCCACTGCACTCCAGCCTGGGCGACAGAGTAAGAGTTCATTTAAAAAAAAAACAAAAAAAACAAACAAACAAAAGTTTTGGTTCACAGCAAAATTGAGCAGAAAGTACAGAGTTCCCATATGCCACCCCACTACTCCACCACTGTCAGCATCTTGTAGGGAATGACACATTTGTTACAATGAATGACCTTACACTGATACATTGTTCTCATGCAACATCCTGCAAGGAAGGTACATCTGCTACAATGAATGAACTCATAGCACACTGGTACTTCATGCCCTGCAGTGGAATGCTAGGCTTGGTACACTCAATGAACTTAAGCTGATACATTGTTACCCAACATCCATGGTTTACATTAGAGCTCAGGCTCCATGTCTGTTCTGGACTTTTGACAAACACATAATGGCATTGCCTGTCCCTGGAGTATCGAGCAGAGTATTTTTACTGCCCTGCAGATCCTGTGTGCTCCGCCTCTTCTGCCCTCCCTCCCTGCCAACCCCTGGCAGTCACTGGCCTTTTTTCTTTTTCCGAAGCCTTTTCTTTTCCAGAAAGTCATGTAATTGGATCATATACTATGTAGCCTTTTCAGACAGGCTTCTTGCACTTCGTATTATGCATGTAAAGCTCCTCTATGTTTTCATGACTGGACAGTCCTCTCTTTCTAGTGCTGAGTCATATTTCATCCCTTTGGTGTCCCAGTTTATTTATCCATTCACCCATGGCTGGACCCCTCGTTGTCCCTACATTTCAGCAAACAGGCATGAACCTGCTGCAACTATCCCTGTGCAGGTTCACGGAGGATTTCAAAGCTTGTCACAGGCACCTGATGAATCCTCACCATCCTTCTAGAACCTGGCTGGAAGGAATAGAATGAAAATGATGAGTCTGCCTAGGCGTGAAGAGCGTGGCTGTGTCTCCAAGCTGTGTGACTTTGGGTAACTAACATCACCTCTCTGAGCTTCAGTTCCCTCTTCTGTAAAACGTGGCGGGGGCAGGGGAGAGGTGACTCCTTCATCAGAGGTGCTGAGAAAATGGAGAGGGGTTTGGTGCATGGGGAGTGTGGGCACCTGCCTGGCCAGCCCTCAGGGGCGGAGCATGGAAGCTAGCTGTCCCTGTTCTGTCACAATCCTGAGACTGACATGAGAAGGCGGGCTTGCAGAGATGAGGTCCACTGAGGGCTCACCTCCCGCCCGTGTGCTTCTGAGGCTCCAGCACTTCCCAGAGCCCCCGCATTTTGGGCATGGGCGGAAAGGGCGAACGGCAGATTCACTTCCCGCTTCCCGCCTCTTATTCATGCGCACACAACTCCTACACTGTTAACGAGCAAAGAAAAAGAAAAAGAAAAACACGTGGATGATTCTGTTCACAGTGAAGGCCAGCTCCGGAGGAGCTAAAACCACCCTGCCACCCTGGGGCGTCCCCGTCAATGGGCTCTGCTGCCCGGCCCTGCCGGTGCCCCTTCCTGCGATCAGGTGAGGCACATTTGTCAGCACCTGGCATGGCCTGGGAGATGGTGCCAGGCACGATGGGGACGCCTGAAGAGTCACGGTCAAACCTAGTTGTTCTCACTGCCACCACCCAAGTCAAGAATGTGTCGCCCAGCCTGGGAACACAACCGCCTCCAGCCATGGGCTCTCCCAGCTCCTGCAGCTGCCACCCTTGTCATTTCTCTTACCAGCCTTCCATCTGCCTGGATCCCTGCATGTCCTCCAGTGGCGACCTGGTGGCTTCCTACAGCCTCCCCCAGGGAGAGCACACATTTCTCATCTGGGCAGCTGAGGCCTCGCCAAGTCCTCTTCCACACCAACTGTGCCTCAGCTGTACTGCCCCAGCCAGCTCCAAATTCAGGTCTCCTCTTCTCCTTCCTGGTTTCCATCATGTTTTTCCCATTCCAGTTTCCACAGGTCAAAAATCCCACGGCCGCCAGTGTGAGCATTCATGTGAACCATGGACTCAGGTGACCATGGTGCATCTGTGTGGGTCAGGGACTGAAGTAAATGCATCCTGGGGTGTCGCTGGAGGAGCTGGTTATGTGCGGGGCTGGGGGCAGAGGAGAACCCTCTGCAGCTTCCACTCAGTTTTCCCGTGCATCTAAGAATACCAAATATGTATATATAGACTATGAAAAATAAAAGTGGGGCTTCGGCAAACTTCACTGCCTCACATTTTACAGAAAAGGGAACTGAAGCTCAGAGAGGTGGCGTTACTTACCCAAAGTCACACAGCTTGGAGACTCACACTCACACTCTTTGCACTTAGGCAGACTCACCATTTTCATGCTATTCCTTCCAGCCAGGTTTAAAAAGAGTGGTGAGGATTCATCAGATGCCCGTGATAAGCTTTGAAACTCTCCGTGAACTTGACCAGGAATAGTTACAGCAGGTGTATGCATTTTTTAATCCGACCAAGTGGGGAACCAGCAAGTGCAGTGAAAGGTAACACAGGGAGCCAGGAAAACGGAGACGAATGGCTTCAAGGCTTGAGCAAAGAAGCCTGCAGCAGAACTCAAGGAAAACCCTGCCGGGAGCTGGAGGGTGGAGGGAGGATCCCGGGACAGCGCTCCCGCATCCTCAGATGAAGCCAAATGTGAACGTAAATATACTGTGCACAGT